CAATATTCTAATGGAGGAATGCTTCACAACAGGGGAAAATACTTCATTGTAGTCGATTCCCTCCTTTTGAGCGTAGCCTTTAGCTACCAACCGTGCCTTGTAGCGAACATCTTTCTTGTTATGAGATCCATCTTTCTTTACAAATACCCACTTGCATCCAATGACTCTTTTACCTTTCGGTAATTGTGCCAGTTTCCAAGTGTCGTTCTTTTGAAGAGATTGCATTTCTTCATCCATGGCACTTTTCCACTTATCACTTTCCAAGCTTTGTATTGCTTCTTGGTAAGTGATAGGGATATCATCATCAACAACTGGAAGAGCATAGGCCACCATATCAACAAATCGAGCAGGTCTACGAATTTCTCTCCTTGGCCTTGTAACTGCAAGTGTTTCTGGTATCTCCAATGGTTCTTGGGTTTGAACCTCTTCATCTTCTGATTCTTCTATTGGAGTTGAATAATCAGCTGCATCAACTTCTGGGATCATCATCTACTGAAACTCCACCTGTTTTGGAGTATGCTCCACCTGCTGCGGAGTACTACTTGTCTGGACAGCTTCACTTGTTACCTTCTTTACTAGGGCAGATTCATCAAAGGTAACATCTCTGCTACAAATTATCTTCTTGGTGTCTAAACACCAAAGGCGGAATCCCTTCACTCCATGGGTGATTCCCATAAAGAGAGCCTTCTTTGCTCTCGGATCAAGCTTGGATTCCTTCACATGATAATAAGCAGTGGATCCAAATACATGTAAGGAATCATAATCAGTAGCAGGTTTTCCAGACCATACCTCCAATGGTGTTTTTCCTCCTATCGCTGATGACGGCAGACGATTAATGAGATGGCCAACATATGTCACAGCCTCAGCCCAAAATGCCTTACCTAACCCAACATTAGACAACATACATCGAACTTTCTCCAATAGTGTTCGATTCATACGCTCTGATACCCCATTCTGTTGTGGTGTATGTCTAACAGTGAAGTGTCTAACAATACCATACTCATGGCAAACGTCAAAGAATGGGTCACTTTTATATTCCCCTCCATTGTCCGTCCTAAGACATTTGATCTTTCTACCAGTCTGGTTCTCGATCATATTTTTCCATTTCAGGAAAATTTGAAGCACTTCATCTTTAGACTTCATGGGATACACCCAAACTCTTCTGGAAAAGTCATCTATAAAAGTTACAAAATAATGGTTTCCTCCCAAAGATGATGTCTTTGAAGGACCCCATACATCTAAGTGAATATAATCTACAATACCTTTTATATTATGTATAGTGGTGCCAAACTTCACTCTCTTCTGCTTTCCCAGAACACAATGTTCGTAAAAGTTCAATTTGCAAGCCTTTGCACCTTTCAACAATCCTTTCTTTGCCAGAAGTTGCAAGGATTTATCTCCAGCATGTCCCAACCGCATATACCACAAATGGGTTGCGTCCAAATCATCACCTCCGAAAACTGCTGCAACTGCTCCAATAATTGTACTACCTTGGTAGTAATACAAATTATTTTTCCTGATGCCCTTCATCATCACAAGTGCGCCATATATGACTTTTAAAACTCCATCCCTTATAGTGACTATTGAGCCTTTGGATTCTAAGGCTCCCAACGAGATGAGATTTTTCTTCAAACTGGGCACGTATCGGACATCCGTCAGAACTCTGGTTGATCCATCTTGATTCTTCAATCGAATTGAACCTATCCCAACAGTTTTACAGGCATTGTCATTGCCCATATAAACAACTCCTGCATTTAGTTCCACTAAATCGGAGAACCACTCCCGAATAGGGGACATATGATAGGTGCAACCCGAATCTAATATCCACTCATCGGAATGGAATGTTGTTGATGAAGCAACCAATGATATGTCAGAGTCATGTGCATCATGCTCTGCAACACACGCATCTGGAGCAGCTTTTCCTTTCTTCTTCAGCTTCGGACAATCTTTCTTCCAATGACCTTTCTCATGACAAAAGGCACATTCATATTTTCCCAGTCTGGACTTCGACTTTGATCTCCCTCTCCACTTTGGCTTTTGACTTTTCGAGCGACCTCTTGCCACCATGGCCTCTGCTGCTTCGTACTTGCTCTCCTTCTTGGTTTTCTTCCTGAGTTCATAACTATACAAAGCAGTAGTTACATCTTTAAGGGTAACATTATCCTTATCATGAAGTAACGTTGTCTTAAGGTGCTCAAATTCATCTGGAAGAGATGACAACAACATCCAAGCCAAATCTTCATCTTTGAAGGTTTCATCCATGCCCAATAAGTCTTCCACTAGCTCATTGAACGCAGTGATGTGTTCATTCATACTGGTGTCTGATTGATAATTAAATCTGAGCAATCTTTTCTTCATGTGGAGACGATTCTGAGAGCTTTTCTTCAGGAATTTTTCCTCCAAAGCTTTCCACATCTTACTTGCAGAAGTCTCGTTCTTGTAGCCATACTTCTACTCCCTGGAAAGACAAGATCGAATTGTGCTGCACGCCAAACGATTGATTGTTCCCCATTCTTTCTCCTCCATATATTCGGGCTTTTCTTCCTCAATGGCAATGTCTAGACCTTGTTGGAATAAAACGTCTAACACCTCGCCTTGCCACATGCCAAAATGACCGGATCCATCGAACAACTCCACCGAGAAATTTGCATTTGACATCACCCTCCTCACCGGTCCAGATGAAGAGCTTGATGTCTCAACTGATCCGAATTTTGGCATTTTAATTCTAACGAACAATATTCAATATCACGAACTGTATATTTTCAGCAACGGAACCACCAGGATAACCTCAACCGAAGCTCTGATGCCAATTGTTGGGGAAAACGGGTTATTTCCCACATGAACGTAGTTTTAAAATTGACCTAAAATGTCAAGATTAAAACCACCAAAGGTTGCACAGCGGATAAACCTGTCAAACTATTGAATATTGAAACACAATGGAAAAGAACCGAATAAAAAACAATAAAGGAGAGAACACACCAAATTTACGAGGTTCGACGAAAATATCGTCTACTCCTCGGGCACCACACCGGATGATAACTTCACTATATCGCCAATATTACAACAAATGGAATTCTTTGGAATTCCCAAAGTGGGAGAATGAAGAATACAAGAGGAAGAGAGAACTTGTTTTTGGGATGATTTCTAATGGAAATACTTAGGCCTATTTATAGTTGAGTTTCAAGAACAATATGTTCAAAGTTTGGCCACCTACCAAAGAATTTTCCAATGTGTACAAGTTAGCCACCAAATATGAAATTCACATGTTCAAAGTTTGGCCACCAACCAAAATGAAATTTCCAATAAGTTGGCCACCAACCAAGATGAAATTTCTAACTTGTCAACTTAATTTCTAGACAAATCTAACAGATATAACTTACTTGATCAATATTAAATCGCAGAAGGGTTTTTTCCATGGTGGAAAGTCGAGATCAAAATCGACATCGCCTGGATATGGTTCATGCTTACATTAAACTGGTCCTGAAACATGAGCACGCTCGTCGCACATGCTGGCGAGCTTCTGCTTTCTCTTTTCTTTAGCTTGAGAGCTCATATAACAGAAGATCCAAATAGAAACCAAGGTCCAACCAGTTAGCCATGAAAGCATGAGCTTTCTCCACCAAGACTTGCTAACTCTCTTGGAACCAATAAACTGGTAGTAATGATGGTGGAGCTTGAAACCATAGGTTGAGATTTTATCCCAGCATTTGAACCACATCTTGGCACCAAGGAGACTAACCTTGTAGTAAAACGATATTTTATACATAAATCACACAATTGCATCTCATATAGTAATTAAACTAATAAATTAAAAGAACATTCAAAAGGAAAAAAATAATATTTTATACATAATTTCAAAATATATTACTTAAAAACAATATTTATACACAATTAATATAAGTAATTTAAAAACTTTTATGTTCTAATTTTGTGGGGAAAAAACTATACTATCGACTACTCGACAAATATAGGAATTGATAGTAGTAGCCGTTAAGTGGATTTGGTGCATCTTAGGGGACTTGGATTTTTGAATCTTAGGTGACGTTTGGTTCGCTGGAATGTTTATGAGGGAATTGGAATATGTGAATGAATTGAAATCTGTCAGGAATTGGAATCCAATTCCATATTATGTTTGGTTGGTAGAAAATTGAATTAGAATCTAATTCCATATTCAGTTTGGTTCGCAGACATGTCAAATGAATTTGATTTCAGTAATGTAAAATGACATGATTGACCCGAATATATGAATTAGAAATCCGACCCGAAATAATAAAAAAATATTTTTATTCAATAAAAACAGTGAATTAATTGAAAAAAAAATTATATATAGAGGGGTATTATTGTAATTATTCCTAAATATATAAGGTAAAATTATATATATTTTCAGGTATGATATTTTTCATCCTAATCCCGAACTCGACCCGACCCGAATATTATACTTAAAAAAACTAACCCTACCAGACCAAGATAAAGTTTCACCAGAACAACCCGAATATGTGAATTAGAAATCTGACCCGACCCAAAATAATAAAAAAATATTTTTATTCAATATATGAATAAATTATCAAAAGATTGATGAGGGTAGTACGGTCAAATTTCAATTCCCTACAACAATGAAATTGAATTTCATTATAGAATGGATGAAATTCAATTTTCCTCATTTGATGGAAAGTTGAAGCTATGAGTGATTTCAATTCCCTTCGAAAACTTGAACCAAACATAGAAAAGTAGTGAAATTAAATTTTAATTCCCCCTAATTCTAAAAGATTCATACGAACCAAACACCACCTTATATTCTGAACTCTTTTCCCCCCTCAACTAACCATTTTTTTTCACTAGAATCAATAAAACAAATAAATTCAATTAAAAGACGTTTATCTACCTTTTATTTCCCCAAAGTCTACGTTTACCAAGGACATTCCACCACGTGTTCTCCTTGGGCCGGGACACCGAAGCCCTTGACGTTACGCCCGAAGAAGGGATCCCCACTCAAATTTATCGTTTCTGTTATATAAAAGGATCGATTAGTTGGACATTTAGTTTTATGAAATCTGTAGATTTTTCTCGAGAAAACGAAACAGGAAAATCTTGTTCGCCGGGGAAAAAAAAACTCAACACCGTGCCTGAAATTTTCTTACACTTTCTTTGCCGCAGTCGTCTCCGGTTACCTGATCTCGCCGTCACCATGGTAATTTTGGTGGTTTTCCCCCTTTTTCCAAAACTATTTATTTTTGTGATAGTCGGTTATCGGTATTAGCAATTCTCTTTTATTAATTTTTTTTCTTTCCCTTAATCTGCTTGTACATGAAATGATCTGATCTATCTATCTACAGATGTGTGTACGCGCGGGAGTTTCTATTGTATATCTCAATTTTGCTGATTTATATTACTAATATTTGATCATGCATGCTCTTAAACTTCAAAATATGCGAACAATTTAGCTCGACGAACCTTAATTTAGCTGTTTTTTGGATGCAAAATTTAATCGCAAATTTCTTGAAGTATCTTTTTTTCTTCTCTTCATATTTCTCTTTTTCAAAGTTCAAAAAAGAAAAAGAAAACGTAACTCTCTAAATGAGATCTGATTATTTTCATCTAAATGTGAATTGTGATAAACTTTGGTTTAGTTTACTTGTACATATGAAATTTTGATTTTATTTTAATTGCACCAATGAAACTTTTATTCTGATAGAAATACAAATCAATTTAAATAGATTTATTTGTATATAAAGTGAGTAAACGCACAATGCTATTATGCAAGTAATGGTATTAGTTGTATGCCAAACTGAATTATCACCTAAAAGCATTTCTCCTTTCTGATAGTTAAAAAATTGCTTAAGTTTTCTAGGGGGAAAACAGATTATCCATTTACGTGATGTCCTTTGTCCTTATGCGTGCAGACAACATCAAGGCGCCTTGCAGAGAGGAAGGTGGAGAAATTCCAGAAGAACATAACAAAGAGAGGAGCTGTGCCTGAAACAACCACAAAGAAAGGAAATGACTATCCTGTAGGTCCTGTACTGCTTGGTTTCTTCGTGTTCGTTGTCATTGGATCGTGTAAGATAATCAGCAGCTAATCCTTTCACGATCATATTTCCCTTAGAGTGATTTTTTGAAATAGCGAATGCAATGCAATAGTTTTGCCTTAATATGGTCAACATGCTCTTGATAATACAGATAGAAGTACATGGTGTGTCTGTGCTTATGCCTGTTTATGCTTGCTTCTTTAGTAAATAGTGTAATATTTATGCAATGTTTAGGATCGGGTAAGAAGTAAGAAAAGGGAAAGAAAAGTTAAGTATCGAGAAAATACAACCTTTGATTTATATTATTTTAAAGTTATATAAATATTTAATAGTATGAGGTGATTACAATGTAGTATCTGTTAAGAATCATTTTTAATCATTGACAACGCACTCACACCTTACAAATGCAGCTGATTGATCCTAAGACCTCTATAGAGAACAACACTCCTTTTAACAATTGAGGCTACTTGATGGGTTCTAAAACTCCTATAACTACAATTTAGAATCTTAAAGGTCATATGTTTATTTGGTAATAAGTCGGACAGCACAGATTCTTAAAGGTCATATCTTTATTCATGCGTCAATACGAGTGTACAATACAATACTTCAAGGAAAATGAAATGTCGTAATAATATACTAACCTTTTTTACTGTTTTTTTCCCTTCATTCTTTATAACAGCTCTCTTCCAGATTATCAGGACAGCTACCAGCGGAGGCTTTGCATAATCCATTTTAAGAAATTGAAGAAGATATTTGTCTTTCCATGTATTTTTTTCTTCTTTTTAAATTAGTCTTGTAGGAAACTGATGAAACATTTACCACATGTTATGAACTATTCAGAATTTGAATAAGATCTCTTTCTTGTCTCATTGTTATATTTTATTGGCTATTTTTTATTTTAATGTTTCATTTGTGAATGAGTAAGAGCTCATAATTTTAATGATTTTAAACAAAACACTAATAGAATCGTAAAAAAAAAAGCCGAAACAAAAGAAATATGAATAATACAATTTTAGTATATATAAACCAAACTCTTAGTTTGAATATGTTCAAGCTCATATATCTCTAATTTAAGAGTGTATAATTTTAAATAATTTAAATATTGTGTAAAATATTTGTATTAGCGGACTAACAGAGCTTTGGGTAAAGTACACAAATGATCTCTCGAGTATACAAATGATCCCTCGAGTATAGGGTGTTGTTTTGTTGAGCCTTTCGATTATTAAAAATTATAAAATAGTCTTCCGATTATAAGACGTTGTTTTGTTGAGTCCCTCGATTATTAAAAGTTACAAAATGATCACTCAACTATTCATATATTCTAAATTCGTCATTTCTTATTAAAAATTTGATGACAATATAAGTTGGACGTTAATCTATTGAGATATGGTAGTGAAGAAATTTACCACCAAGGTCGTTTGGTTCGTGAAAAAATGTAGAATTCAATAGTTTTGAAACCTGTGACAAATAATTAGCCAAGTCATGTCTCTACCATCTAAGCTAGGGTATTGTTTTTTCACTAGTATCCATGGCATTCCTACAATAATTATGATTTTTTTATACATTTATATCTACAATAATGATAATGAACTATATGCACTGTGGCAGTACTTGGTGACAAATTTTGGGGGTCAACTTAATATTTTAAAAAGTTTAGATGTTTAAATTAAAATATTCTAAAATTTTGAAGGATTCAGTTTATATTTTTTCCAAAAAAAATTGGGGTCTAACTAATTTTTTGAAAATTTGAGAGGTTTAATCCTCACCGTGTTCCGTTACCGTGCACAAGCACATTATTTATATAAAGGAACAACGAACAAATATAAATAAATTTAACGATTTTCTCGAGAACTCAAATTGCATGTGCAAAAGGTATTAACGTAGATAAAAATATAATTCAGTACTAATGTAAGAAAAATAGAAGAAACAGAGTTACTCTGAATTTGTAGATTCTCAAGAAGATTTAATCCTTAGCTCTTGATTTTTTCCCTCTTGTCTGAAGGATATAACAAGTTAAGAATTCCATTCTGTTGATTAAATCCAATGAATTGGATCGCCTATGTTCAACGTTTGGGATCCAAATCGAAAAAGCTAGCCTTTTAACGAATTAGGTAACTATGCACTGCACCTATGTGAGCAGTCTGTTAGCAGTGTTAGACCAGAGAGAGAGAATGCAACATCCACATCCACATCCACATCCTCATTCTTCCAAACCCTATATTACAGTGTATAATTTTTGGCTGATATACTAATCTCTTTTACAATGGCAGTAAATGGTAAAATACCAACCTCTATAAACTGATGAAAACCATCTTGCTAAATACATAATGCTAACATTCTCCCTGTTGATTGAACCTTTGATTTGTTGATAAATAATAGCAACTCCAGTAGGAGAAAACACGCATAGCTTCTGCCACAATTGAGTAAATGGACCGGTGGGTCAGTCAAAGTGTCAGCAAATTTCTTCTTTTGTTGTTGTTGGCATATAGTCAACTTGCAGTTGATTGTTCAACACTTTGTCTCGAAGAAAATGAAGACAAAGTTTGATATGTTTGGCACGAGGAAAATGAAGATAAAGTTCGAACAATACATCTTCCAAAATCGTTTAGATGTCTTCAAAAAGTAAGAGATAATTGAATCAGACAATACGTGAAGAATACGAGTTAAAATGGAGTAATTTCAAAATCGTTTAGATGTCGCCATACCCATTGAAGTGGTATATGCCAAGGATGATTGCAGTGGTCTTTTCTTTCTTTCATCACCCTCGTTCTTAACCTATACCTAATATTTGTTGTCATGTTGTTTGCCTTATTTAGGGTTTTATAAGCTTCTCCATCACCATCTAGGGTAGGTCTATAATAAGCCCACCATCCCTTCGTCTCCTTTTGAAGTAGATGTATCTATGGGGGCCATTAAAGTGCTGACTAGTGTCTTTCATCCATTGCCACGACAATAGAGTGTAAGCACGAACGTAAAAATTTATGTTAGGAGTGTGAACTTAAAAAATTATATTAAAAATTTTAGAGAATACGAAGTTATAAAATTACATGGGTGTAAAATTAGATAATCAACAAAGAAAATATATTAAAAAAACTTAAAATATAAGAGAATTTAAATTTTTTTTAAAGGGTTGCAACTTCAGTGGGTAACATGTCCATGCTTTTACCATAACAAAGCTTCGTCCTTTGCTTCTTTTCCTTCACCAGCTTGAACCTTCCATCCAATCACAACACAAATCCTCCATCAAAACCAACAAAACACACCAAGCTGTTTAATGTAATGCTTTATCTAAGAAGACTACTTAATTGCAAACAATTAATTAAGTCTATGGGCGTCAATTATAACTCTTAAAAAGAGTTAACAATAATCAACAATCGTGACCCTAGACGTTTTAAGATTCCTGATTTTTTTCTCCATCTTTGCTCTGAGTTCAAATTAATCCAAATTTCACTTTTGGCCATCAACTTTTAAATTTATCCAATTTAATCACTTATTATTCTGATTTCACTTTAATTAAGTCCTATAATCTGTAAGCATAACAATAAAATCGCTCATAATTCTGATTTCACTTCAATTTAGTCCCCAAGGTTTAAATTATTGAAAATTAAACCCTCAAAAATTAAAAATTACTCTTTTATTTAACAATAATAATTAATTTGAAACTTTTAACCCTCCCACCTAGGGATGGCCATGGGTTGGATCGGGTCAAGTTTTTTACCCACCCGAACCTGAATCAAAAACTAAATCCCTCCACCAAAAATTGAGCTAACCTGAAACTCGACCGAATTTTTAGATTGAAACTCGAACAGACCTAGCCTGACATTTGTACATATATTCATTTTTATTAGGTAAAATAAGAACCTAATTAAAAAAATAAAATAGAAATAGGTATTATTGTAATTATTCCTAAATATATAAGAGATAATTATAATATCAAGTCGAGTCGGGTCAGATTATTTTTACACTAAACTCAAACTCAACCCAAATCCACTTGAACCTGAATTTTTAAAATAAAACTTGATTGGACTGGGTTGAATCGAGTCGCGACGTATGGTGTTTAGGTGAGATGCCCGTTCCTACTCCCACCATATGTGACATTATTCAAACTGTCACCATTTAAAAAGAACATCACGACCTTTTAATTGATAAATTAAAATATAAATTCAATACAAATTAAAAAACTAAAAATAAAATTCTTACATAATATATAAATACAAACAATGATATGAGATGAATAGAGACAAAATAAAATAGGTAAAGATAGAACAAATACAAAATCATAATTACATCTACTCAATAATAATTTAATTTTTATCTCTATCCCATCTATGAAATTTATACTCATCTCCACCTAAATGAGGGAGGGTGGGTGGGGGGAGAGGATCTCCATGAAACCTGCTCACTAACTAACGTCTACTACACTAGCTATGGTAATAAACTAAGGATAAAAAGTTGATAAACTGAGTAAGCTTACTTTAGTATTTATTCATTTATTTAGGTGCATTTGTTGGAAAATTATCAATAATTAAATTAAATCAAATTAAAAGAAACAGACAATGTGTGGAGCCCACAGTACTACATTCACCAATCACCAAATGCTACGTAAGGAGACAAGATAAGACTTCAAATTCAGAAAAAAAATAATATCGCGGACAGGTGTTCTATAAGACAATGCTTACCAGTCTCCCTAGGAATTAGGAGCTCCTGTAATAACCTTTTTTTCCCTTTCTTTTTTACTTTTTCTCAAAATATTTACTAATTACTTTAACAAAAAATATTCAAATTTAAAATTAAAGTTTAATATTTTTTTAAAGGGGTCTTGGATTACAAATACAAGACACGGTAAGTTCATAGGCCTCGTTAACTAATTCATAATGTAAAGGTCATCCCTCTAGTTGAATCAAATCATAATAATAATAATATTTTTATTAAATATTTAAATAGTATTACATTTAATAATTAAAATAAAATTTTCCTTACTAATTAATTTAAATATGTAACGATATTAATTCATAAATTTTAATAATATTCAGAAAAATTCAAATATTTTTATTCACGACAACAATAATTATAATTTTATCCATCTTAAATCAACCCTAACGGGATATTTAATTACAAGTAGTTCAAATATCAAAATTATATATATTTTTTAAATATAAAAGTCAGTTCAATGATAGAATAATAAAATATAATTTTCTCTCTTATCAGCTTCTTTTTATTAGCCAAAAATTTGGTCCACTTATTCCAACGCCTTGTTCTTCTCCTTCATCATCTTCTGCATAACAAAAAAAGTCAAAATTTAAACCCATAATTTCTTGTTCTTTTTTGCATTTAATCAGATTATCGATTGCGTGAAACAAAGAGAGAATGAACAGGGAAGATATAGCTAAACATAGGCAATTCCTCGCCAATAGGAAATGGGTTTTCCCTCTCGTTATCGCCGGCCTAATCGCCGGAGCCATACTAACCTCGAGTTTCATAAAAGCCGCCGACTACTCACTGTTATGCTCCGTTGGTAACACCAGATCATCACAAGCCGTTTCTGATGTCTCCGTCGCCAAAACCAGATCATCTTCTCATGCCGTTGCTGAAAACTCCGCCACGTCGATCCAACTCCAAGCCATTATCCACTATGCCACCTCACGCATCGTACCTCAACAAAGCTTCAAGGAGATCTCCGTTACATTTGACGTCCTCAAGAAACGTTCACCATGTAATTTTCTCGTCTTCGGACTCGGCTACGATTCCTTGATGTGGACTTCAATCAATCCGAACGGGAACACTATATTCCTCGAAGAGGATCCGAAATGGGTCCAGACGGTGCTCAAAGATGCGCCAAGTCTCCACGCGC